TGTGTGTGTGTGTGTGTGTGTGTGTGTGTGTGTGTGTGTGTGTGTGTGTGTGTGTGTGTGTGTGTGTGTGTGTGTGTGTGTGTGTGTGTGACACTATGTTCAATAACTATCGACTGCTGAGTGAATACTTTCAACTTACAACAATCCATTCATTCTAACGCAGTGGTTCTCAAATGTTTACCCCCCGTCTATAGTTTAATAACAAGTAAATAAATGATAATAAACAACTTACACTTGATGAACAGGTGATCAAGAACAGTGACACAGCAACAGATCTCAAATTTCTAACATTAAGAGAGAGTACATTATATTTAACAAAATGAAGAATTTTCGAACCAAACTGGAAGGAAAATTTTCTCGCATAGTGCTCTCTTTGCCACAACTTACCGCTGGATTTTCGGCTTTGTATTCATTTCAGAGCCAAGAACGAGCTGAAACACGTAGGTTCTGATATGCAATGTTGACTAAAGATCCTTGCATTGGTATTTCATTAAAAGATATACAAAAAAACAATGCTTCCTATCAACAGTGCAGTAATAATGTTTGTTCTTTTTCAATCAATCACCAAAGAAATAATGCTTTAAATCTATTTTTTTAAGAAATGATTAAAAATTCTTTATTTCTCGAGTAAAATTCATTTCCTACTTGTAAATTGCTTTAGAAATTAAAGCATCCCAATGTTTTTTCTTCCCTTTTAACTATATATAACTGAAAAGGAATGGCCTAAGGGTACGAAAAACTTTGAGAACCACTGTTCAAATATAACATGTATAATAACGTTTAATCTAAACTTCTACTTACTAAATGAAATACAATTCCCAGCTGTGACTTTTCCCTTTTTTTTCTAAACATACATACATTATATACAGAGTACGTAACCCACAAGACCGTGCTTTGTCATAGTAACAAAAACGTTATATTTTAGCAAAGTATAGTCTTGTCTAACTAACCATAACTTTTCTGACATTTTTTTTATACGTATAAGAGATTCATTTTTTGCACCCTCGGGAATTTTAACACCTAAACTAGGAGAAAAAAAAATCCAGGCTCATAGCTGATACATGAATTTAAAAAAAAACGCTTTCGGCAACATAGATGAATTCGCAGATAAGTGATAATAATAGTAATAAGAATAATGAAGATAATATAATGGTAATGATGTTAATGATGATGACGGTGATGATGATATCAATAATGATAATAATAATAATAATAATAATAAGAAGAAGAAGAAGAAGAAGAATGATGATGATAATAATAATAATGATGATAATAATAATAATAATTATAATAATAATAGTAATGATAATAATAATAACAATGATAATGGTAATAATAATCAAAGTGATGATAATAATAATAATCATAATGATAATAAGATTATTAATATTGTTATTAATAATAAAAATAGCAACAATAATTGTGATGATAATAATGACAATAATATTATTAAAATGATGATATTGATGATGATAATAACAACAACCACAACAATCATCATCATCATCAATATCATCATTTTAATAATCGTAATAATGATAATTATAATAGTAGTAATGATAACGATAATACGGATAATTATGATAATGATAATAACGATAATGATGGTAATAATGATAACGATGAAGATGATGATAATAATAATGATAGTAATAATAATAATAATAAGAGCAATAGTAATAATGACTAAAAAAATAATGATGATAATGGTGATGATAATGATAATAAAAACAATGATAATAGTAATGATAATAATAATAATAATAATAATAATAATAATAATAACAATAACGATAACAATTATATTAATAATAATAATGATAATAATAGTAATGATGATAATGATAATAATAATACTAATAAGAACAACAATGATAATCTTATTATCATTATTATTATTACTATTATTATCATTATTATTATTGTCATTATCATTGTTGTTATTAAATTATTGTTAGTATTGACATTATCATTATCATTATTATTACCATTATTATTATTACTTTCATTGTTATTATTATCATCATTGATATTATCCTTATCATTATATTTATTATTATCCCTATCACTACTATTATCACACTTAGTAGTATTATGAACATTACAACTATTATTACCATCATCATCATCATCAACAAAAGCAACAACAACAACAATGACAGTATTATTTAAATTAAAACATTATCTTTATTTACTAATCAGCTGCGTCAGTATCGGTCTTGTGTCTGAAATTTCAACAAAGACAATAAAGAAGAATAGTTCATAGACTGCATGCACTACAAAAAATTAAATCAACTGATATATCAAGAGCAATTAATCCCGCATACGAATAACGATCACGGCCATTAATGCAATTGCGAAAATGATTAAGATAATGTTTATAATGATGACAATGAGGATCATGGCTTGGGGGAATGGCGTTTGGTAATAGTCATAATAATAATGGTTTAGGCTGTACTATGAGCGTTAATGGTTAAAATACTCGTTATTGTACTAGTAGTAGTAGCAGTAGTGGTAGTATAATAGTAGTAAAAGCAGTAATAGAAGTCTCCGTAGTAGTAATAGCAGAGGTAGTGGTAGCAGTAGTAGAAGTCGTAGCAGTAGTGTAGTAGAAGTGTAGTAATAGTGGCTATAAGTAGTAGGTGTATTATTAACTGCAGTAGTAGAAGTCGTAGTAGTAGTAGAAGTAATGACAGTAGTAGGTGCATTAGTAACCGCAGTAGCAGCAGCAGTAGCGGAAGTAGCAGCAGTTGTAGTAGTGATGGTGGAGGTAGTAGTGGTAGTAGTGGTAGTAGTAATAGTAATAGTAATAGTAATAGTAATAGTAATAGTAGTAGTAGAAGCAGTAGTAGTAGTAATAGTAGTAGTAGTAGTAGTAGTAATAGTAGTAATCTTAGCCATAATAACAGTAGTAGTAGTAGTAGTAATAGTAGTAGTAGTAGTAGTAATAGTAGCAGTAGTAGTAGCAGTAATAGTAGTAATAGTAGTAGAGTGGTAGTAACAGCAGTAGTAGTAGTAATATTAGATGATGATAATATTAGAGTGATATTGGTAAGCTAATTAACGATTATACAACACAATGATATTGATAAAAACAAAAATAACATTGAATATGATTCACTGAGAAAAATGGCAAATGTATTCAGCTTCAAAATCAGCTAGGTCTTTCAAAATGCAATGTTGATATAAACTATGAATATCACGGTCTTACACATTTCTTTCGTACATGGTGTGTGTGTGTGTGTGTGTGTGTGTGTGTGTGTGTGTGTGTGTGTGTGTGTGTGTGTGTGTGTGTGTGTGTGTGTGTGTGTATTCACTATCACATTCTCCTGCAAACCTTTGTGATTAGCAACAAGAACAAACAAAATGGATTCATTATCATATAAGACGTCACCGTTTATACAACTCACAAGAGAGCCAAAGATTAATAGGAATATACACGATGTCTATAAGCTGTCTTGGCATAGTTCAAACACTCCACAGAGGCGGCCCCGCTCATGTTCCAAAGCGAAAAGTTTTGACAATAACACAGTTTAGTCGCCTTTAAAAGCAAACACTTTATGTAAGCAGGAGTCAGAACTTCACTCGGAGCCTCAGCTATAACTTCGTCGACGCTGTGATGGCCTCACTATCCGAAGGCTTGGCTATGGCTCTCAGTAACCTTGCCCAGAAGAGCTTTTGACTCTCGAGGTCCGGAACCCACTCGATGTAGGTTCTCGTCTTGAGCAAGTACTTCAGTTTCTTGGGCTGCTCCTCGTCCGGGATGCGCTCCAGAAGCAGCATGATCAGTTTGGATTTCCTTTCGTCGAGGATCTTGTTGCTGGCCATCTGGAGTTCGAACATGCACCAGCTGCTCCTGATGAAGGAAGGCGACAGGACCACTACGACCTGGGGATGAAACAAGAGAAAGGTACTGATTCTGTGATAAAAGGACTAATTCTATGATAAAAAAGACTAATTCTATGATAATTTGGTCAGTCACCATTTTTTCTCTCATTATCAACAGTTTTGCTGAATGTTTCATTTGGCAGTCCCTGGTGACACACAGTTTCCCAGAAATGCATGGCTTCAGTGCAACAAAACCCATTAATTAACTTAATGTTTCAAATTAGAACTGTAGTGGCCATGAATCCTAAGGCTCATTCAGGTGCATGGTTTTCCATACCCGAAAGTCCATGCATTTCAGAATATCGTGTTGGTGATTCCTTTCATGAAATTAGAATTCCGAAAGCTGTCAAACCATGAATTAATCAGTTAAAAAAAGCAAAATTGCGTCACAAATCAAATCAAATATAGAATAATTGTTCATATAGCATTATTTGTGTCTCTTTTGCTTCTTCGAAATCAGAGCAGTGTCATCAAGGACCAAAGTTGTGCAAATTCGTTTCACAGGTGTTTCACAGAATGCCTGCATGAACCTACCACAAACATTCAACTTGTATCTCAAAATGCAGTCCAGACCCTACATGACCTTTCCCCATGTCAATCTACACGAAATACTAGCGCCAAAAAGCAATCCTTATCTCGCAGAAAATATGTCTATTACAGTAAGCCTACTCCAGCTATTTAATGTACACATTTAAAAGGCAGATCTTACCTTGCGTGACCGTTCGACACTACTGATAATGTTGTCTGTTATCTCCTGGCCTACTGTGAAGTCTCGCTCGTGGATGCACACTCGGTACCTGGAGTTGAGACAATGTTTACACATGCTTAGTATTTCTATTCTCGTTATCTCTGGTTGTAGTGTGAACATTATAATCATTAATGTCATCACTGTCATGACTATTATTATTATCATGATTTTCTCATTGTTATTATCATTATCATTATTATCATCATTATATCATTATCATTATCATCATCATTATATCATTATCATTATCATTATCATCCTCATTATATCATTATTGTTATTATCAATGTCATCATAATTATTATCGCTTTCATCATTATCATCAGAATTCTTATTATCATTTTCAATTATCATCATCATTATC